TGGCTGATTCTATTAGTTTAAGTAATGTGAATTATGTCAGTCTCACTTTAGTGCCTGGTAACATTTTCAAGATTATTCTGGGAATTATTGTAAAACATCTGAAGGACGATACAGTTGTCAGTCACAACCAGCACAGCTTTATGAGGGGAAAGTCCTGCTTGACTTAAGATATACTTAATTTCCTTTTATGACAAGGTAACCCAGCTAGTTGATCAAGGGAAGACAGTTGATGTCATCTTTTTGGATTTCAGTAAAACTGTCCAGCACACAGCTGGATAAACACATTATGGGATTGGTGATAGCAATTGGCTCATGAGTTAAGCACAGAGGGTAATAGTAATGGAGGAACATCAGACTGGTGACTCATCATTAGTGGGGTTCCACAGGGCTCCATCTTGGGCCCTGTGCTCTTCAACATCTTCATAAATGACTTGGATGCAGGACTCGAAGGGATACTAAGTTTGCGAATGATACAAAATTAGGAGACGTTAACTCCCTTGAGGGCAGATAGGCCCTGCAGAGAGACCTCAACAAATCTGAGAGATGGGCAATCACCAATCACATGAAGTTTGACAAGGGAAAATGATGGATTCTGCATCTGGGACAGGGCAACACTCTTTGTGTGTATAGGCTGGGAAATGAGACACTGGAAAGCAGTGCCATAGAAAGGGACCTGGGGGTCCCAGTTGATGGCAAGTTGAATATGAGTCAGCAGTGCCCTGGCACCCAGGAAGGCCAACTGTGTCCTACATCAGGCAAAGCATCTCCAGCCGGTCGAGGGAGGGGATTGTCCCTCTCTGCTCTTCACTGGTGCAGCCTCATCTTGAATAATGCATGAAGTTTTGGTCACTGCAATATAAGAAAGATATTAAGCTATTAGAGAGCATCCAAAGGAAGGCAATAAAGATGGTGATGGGCCTGGAGGGGAAGCCATATGAGGAGTGGCTGAGGTCACTTGGTCTGTTCAGCCTGGAGGAGACTGAGGGGAGACCTCATTGCAGTCTACAACTTCTTTGTGAGAGGAAGAGGAGAGGCAGGCACTGTGATGAACAGTGACAGGATCTGGGGAAATGGCCTGAAGTTGTGTCAGGGGAGGTTTACTTTAGACATTAGGAAAAAGTTCTTTACCCAGAAGGGTAGTTGGGCACTGATACAGGCTCCCCAGGGAAGTGGTCACAGCACCAAGTTCAGCACAGAATTCAAGAAGTGTTTGGATAATGCTTTCAGGGACATGGTGTGACTCTTGGGGCTGTCCTGTGCAGGGCCAGGAGCTGGATTTGTGGGTTCTTTTTAGCTCAGGAGATTTTACAACAGAAAAAAATGTCCCTTTCTGTCCATTGACTCTGGAAGGAGCCATGAATAGACCAGGTGCTAACCGTTTACAGTTTTGGTTTTCAGTAATGGTAAAATTAATGTTTTATGAGTCAGATACAACAAATTTAAGTTAGACCTCTTAACTCTCAGCCATTTAAAAGTCTTTCCAAAACATTTTATGTGTTAGCATAGAATAACAATTATCATGGAAATGAAGATAACAAGATTTTTTTTTATAATAGTGTATAATATATCTTCACAATGTATTTCCCACAAGAAAGTTTTCTTTTGGTATTTCTTATATGCGTAACCAGAAACTTAAATCTTTCATTTATGGTTGATATCCAATTACCTTTTCTTCCTAACTTACTTTATTATTAAAGAGGTGAACATTCATATTTGTTTTTAAATTGTAATGTAAAAGAGTTTGTGAGTCTAAGCAAATGGAGCATACTTAAATAATACATTGCTATATTTTCTCATGGAATAAATTACATTAAAAGTCTTGTTGTTATTTTTTCTTGCCAGAACCAGCTCTCCTTATGTGCTGCTTTTTTTTTTTTTTTGCTTTTCTTTGGCTTTATTAGTCTTGATTTCATAATTAAATTTTGCACTGATATAAACTAGGAATACTAGAAGGTACATCAGGAGCAGATGCAAATGTAAAATATTTTGTCTGCAGCATACTACCTAAAATTCTTGTTATTATTGAAACTGTAGACAACCAAGGGATCAGATGCAACCAGCATGGATTTAGGAGGGGCAGATCATAGAATCATAGAATCATAAAATTACTGGGTTGGAAGAGACCTCCAAGATCATCAAGTCCAACCCTTGATCCAACCCCACTGTGATTACTGGTCCTGCCTAACCAACCTGATCTCCTTTATGACCATGTGACCCACCTTGTGGATTCAGGAAAGGCTGTGGATTTTGTCTACCTGGACTTCAGTAAAGCCTTCAGTACTGTCTCCCATGACATTCTTGTAGAAAAGCTGGCAGCCCACGGCTCGGACAGGTGCACTCTGTGCTGAGTTAAGAACTGGCCGGCTGGCCTGGTCTAGAGAGTGATGGTGAATGGCGCTGTACCCAGTTGTCAGCCAGCCCACAAGCGGTGTCTGTTAGGGGTTAGTGGTGGGCCCAGTCCTTTTTTGATGATCTGAATGTGAGGGAGTGCACTCTCAGCAAACTCGTGGCTCCCAAGTAGGAGTGCTGGTCTGATGGAGGGTAGGAAGGTTCTGCAGAAGGATCTGGAAAGGCTGAGGCCAGTGGTATGAGGTTCAACAACACCTAGTGCTGGGTCCTGCACTTCAGTCACAACAACCCCATGCAGAGCTACATGCTGGGGGAAGAATGGCTGGAAAACTGCTCAGTGGAAAAGGGCCTGTGGACACTGCTCGACAGCTGTCTGGAAATGAACCAGCAGTGTGCCCAGGTGGCCAAGAAGGCCAATGGCATCCTTGATTTTATCAACAACAATGTGGCCAGTAGGACCAGGGAAGTGATTCTTTCCCCTGTGCTCAACAGTGGTGAGGCCACTCCTCAAGTTCTGTGTCCAGTTCTAAGCCCTTCACTATAAGACATCAAGATGCTGGAACATGTCCAGAGAAGGGCAATGGAATTGATGAAGTATCAGGAGAATAAGTCATATGAGGAGCAGCTGAGGGAGCTGGGGTTGCTTAGTCTGGAGAAAAGGAGGCTCACGGGAGACCTTATTGCTCTCTACAAATACCTGAAAGGAGATTGTAGCAAGGTGGGTGTTGGCCTCTTCTCCCAGGCTACTAATGACAGGATGTGAGGATATAGCCTTAATTTATGCTAAGGGAGGTTTATATCGGACATCAGAAGGAATTTCTTCAAAGAAAGGGTTATTAAACATTGGAATGGGCTGCCCAGGGAGGTTATGGGGTCACCATGCCTGGAGGTGTTCAAAAAATGACTGGATGTGACCCTTAGTCCACTCTGGTTGACACGGTGGTGATTGATCAAAGGTTCTACCTTGATGATCCTGCAGGACTTTCTCAACCTAAGTGATTCCATAATTCTGTGATTTTGTGAATGCAGGTAATGCATTACATTCATTCTTAAAATCTGGCAGGTGTGTAAATCATGGCATAAAAAGGCTGTATTACATCACAAACCCTCTTGACCTATGGTTAAAATAATTATACAGATATTTGTGTTAATAGTGGATATCCTAGGACCATTTAGCTTTTCTTTAGACTTCTTACTTTTTGATTTTTTAACAACACTCCTGTAAATATTAGCTCCATTTTAAAATATACAAGCAGTTTTAATCCTGGACTCAATTTAGCATAGTTTAAAAAACATAGTTATACAAATAGCAGAGATGGCAAAGTAAGTTCTGAAAAGTAAGATATGAATTTAGGGCAAAAGGCAATATGCTATCTTAAGTCAATGGGTATTTTGTTAAGAACAGTCTGTTCTTTGAGTTACAAGCTGAAGCTACATAGTGTATGGCTCACCTGCTCTAGTAGTGTAAGCTCCTCTCTGAAGTTTATTATAGTAGGCTTTTCCAATTCCAACAGAGAGAGATGAGATGGTCTGGTTTTCTTTTTTAATACTGAGAAAGCTTAAATAAGTAACTTAGCTTGGATGATGCTTTTTTAAAGGGCTATAATTTGATTGTAATGAATTCTGCCTCAATAATCACATAGAAATAAACTTAAGTGGATGAAAACCTTTGTTTTTTCATGTGTTGCTGACAAAATAGCAGCATATTACAGCTGATGCCGAAAGCTCAAATCTGACCCAAATGTTGTTTTTATCCACAAAACAGAAGAAAAATTAATTGCATTTTCATGCAATGGCTGAAGTTGTCTGAAAGTATACCCAGGGATATCTGTAAAAGTTAGTATAGAGATAAAATGAATAATTTTATGGGAAGTCACTGTGACTGCACATTCATATCAAGTTGTCTGCATAAAATTTTATATCAAATTACAAAAATGTACAATGTCCATATATATGTACCTACATATAATCTGCAACTACTTACCAATACGAAAACTCCTAAAACTCCTTGTCTTAAAAGTGTTCTTTTATACTAATCTAATTCCATTTTCATACTATGTTTTATTTTATAAAATTAGTTTCAGTTAATACTTTTTCAAAGAATAGTGAGAGATACATTTCTAATTTTCTTGTCAATTCATGATTAGGCATTGAGTGGAATCAGAGTTTAATATTAGTAATTTATTCAAGGACATTTCTGCTTTTGTGTTTCTGTGCACCAGCCTCCTCCATCTTTTTATGAGTTGGTAGTTCATACCTGCTATCTTGTTATTGTATAATTCAACAGATGAGAATGTTTTACTATACTTTCAGTACTACGCTGTGTAATTTTTATATAGCTATATAGCAAAAGAAGAGGATTTATTGCGTCAATAATGAACAATTATCGCCAGTTAGAGGTGACTGGCATCTTCAGTATATGATACCTCTAGAACATTGTGGCAGTGACTTGCCCTTGGGTATTAGAAAATATAGAATTTGCTTCACTTCTGCTCTTTCTAGGTAACTTCGTAAATTCAAATATAACTAACTGAAATAATTATTGCCTCACTACTTGATTTATGATAGCCAAATAATTTTTTTGAAGACTAGGACAGATCAGATTACATGTGAATATGTTTTGAAATAACTGAGTTAATTAATTTTGATAGGTCATAAAGCTTGCTTTTGAAGAATTTGAACTGGAAAGAGGCTATGATACTCTTACTGTTGGAGATGCCGGGAAAGTTGGTGATACCAGAACAGTGTTGTATGTGTAAGTACAGAACTTCAAAAAGTTTTCCTTGGAAATTTTTTGTCATGTTGTTTCTGCTAGGTCAGGATATATCTACTTAAATTTGTAATTTTAATTTATGTAATTTGCTTTTATAATGTAAACTTAAAATCCAAGTACTGTCAAAGAAAATTGTTTATTTCAAAATTCACTCCAGAACCTTAGTAGCATCTTTATAGACTTTAATATCAGTGACTAAAAACTGAAGATGAGACTTTCTTAAAAGAAAAAAAAAACAACTCCCTTTAAAAAACAAGTACTACTTCTATAATTTTATTTACAAACAATTAAGGCTTCAATTTCATAAAATAGCAAATACAACTTGTGTAAAATAAATAATTAATTGAATAATTTCAAAATTCTTATACTTAACATTGAATTTGTGTACAAAATTTTCATGAAAGGACATAGGCCACCTTTTGGTAAAGCTATACATGCTTTATGGATTAATATAATATATTGAAAGAGTAGGAGTTTACATAAATTTGAAAGAAAATTACAAACTAGGTAGCTACTCTTAATATAAAGGTCCTCCTTACTGTTTAGACTAATGAAAAGAATAAAATCCTGTACAGATAATTAATCTCATCTACCTTAACCACATCATTTTGGTTGCATATGCATATTTTCCTTCTTGCCTAATGAAAGCTTGTGTTTACAAGGTATTTTAGCTATAGCTTTTAGAGGGTTAAATTTTCATATGAATCCTAATCACCAAATACAAAATAAAATTGCAGGGTTAATAAATTAGCAGCAAGTGAATAAGAGAAACTAAGAGCATTTATTTCATAATAACATTACTTGACATTGCAAAAAACCCTATTGGATTGAGACAGTATTGAAACATTTGTTAAAAAGAATCCATCATCTTTTGTATTTTGAGGGAATTTTAATCCATATAAATAATTACAGTGTTTCTTTTACTTAATTATAACAAATGAGTGCACCTACACAATTTATTTTAAATTAATTAGAATATTTTTGGAGGCAAAAGTCTGAGAACAATAAATTCATTATATGTATTTGCTTATGAATTTATAAATTTGTAGATGGCTAATTTCTGAACTGTGATATCAAAGTACATAGAAAATCCATAGTTTAATTTGGCTTAAAAAGTAAGACTGGCAAATTATTGAACTATTAGTGCTATGCTTGTGTTTCTTGTTTTGCAATACCAAGTAGCTGCTAGTGAGTAAATTGAATTCCACGTTCTGAGTACCTGAAAAAGAAAAAAACAAACCAAACCAAACACCCCCCAAATAAACAAAACCAAAAAACCAAACAAAACCCAAAACAAACAAAAAACAAAACAAACCAAACAAATAAACAAAAACAAAACCAAAAACTTTTAAGAGCTTACACTTTAAGCTAATAAGAAAAGCACAAACTGGGAATTAATTTCCACACCCATCTTTATTTTGTCTCATATTTTGCAGACCAATTATATAATGTGATGATCTCTCTGGTCATGTTAATTTAACTACTTGTAACTATGACTTGTAACTATGCAGTTTTTCCTTTTCGAACTGGGATACATATTTGCTCACAGGGATCCCAAAACTCCTTCAGTCAAGTTTTTAAGTAGTAAATTTACTAACTCAAATTGTTTTTACACTATGCCTACTTCCTGCGTCAGAGTTTGCCAGTTTAAAATGATTTATCAAATAATTGCTAAATTTTAGGGTGTTTATCTTTTCATCTGAAGGCATTTAGCCTGCGCTACCTATTCCACATGTATTTTCCGTGGCTGCCAAAAAAATAAAATAAAATCAAATCTAAAATATTATTTTCTCATACTGATTGTTGTTTTTGTTACCTTAAGAAGACAGCACTCCATAATAACATCACCTCCTATAATTTTTTTTCACTTTAATAACACTTTAAAGATCCTGTAGCATACATCCACTTCTAAATCTATCAATGGCATTTCTGGAACTAGTACAATGTTTTGACCAGAGAAAGGCAATACTTTATGCCATTTCTTCAGTATGATTTTTTACTAAAACAGCAACTGCTTTATCCCTATTACTCCTCAGCCTATCACTTATGATTACAGTACAGTGCTGGACCTATCATCCTTACTGTAAATTATATGTTTGATGAAAGTGAGGTCTATGCAATTAAATTTATTTGCCTTTTGGGCTACAATATTAGCATTGCTCTGAAAACCAATTGAGACAGTAAATTATTAATAACTAAAATATACAAGAAATACAGGAAGACCTAAATATGAAACTGCAGTCTCACAATAATTAGCAATGAATCTAAATTTCTATTGAGACATTGTTCTTGCTGTTATTAGACACTGCATTATGAAATACATTATATTTAAACAGCATCATGGAAATGCTCCCTTTTACTTGCTTTTGAGAAAGGTCTTCTGTGAATGCAAAGTAACATTCCTTATAAAACATTAAGACCACTTTTAGACTAAATTATCATGAGAAAGTTCATAACTAAATGTCAGAGTGATTTTCTTATCAACATTTTTTATTAGTTGGTTTTAATAACATCTGTTATATTTAATGAGGTTTGAGCAGCACCTTGCAGTTTCTTATTCTTCCCAGGGGAATGAAGGAACTTATAGCAAAGACTTTTCTGGCTAGATTTAGTTTCTAAATTTCTCAGGATATCTTAAGAAATAATATAGCTTTTACTATGCTCTTCAAACTTCTGTTAGCAGACTAAATGTCAGCAGTTCTGCTGAAATTCTGAAAAACATTACTATAGAATCTCATGCATTTGATTTGAAAAGTTCAGAATTTACAATTTAGTTTGAACAAAATATGCTGAAATAAATAGCTTTCTAAATTCAAAGCTAATTCTAAGTGATTTGAACCTTTCAATTGTTGTGTCTGAACACACAAGCCTCAGGCCCATGCAAAATTTTTCAGTTCTCAGGCGTTAGAGCCCTGAAGGCAGTATCTGCTTCTGAGTGCTTTGTAAACTTATGGCAACATTGCAAACAAACATTGTGTTGTAAACAAATTCAAACTTTACAGTCATGTCAGGATGTTTATAAGCCAGACATCCTATGAATCTTGGAACTGGGTGAAGACAGGTCAGTTAATAAGGGACCTTTAAATACTTTATGGAAAGACTGGGGGAGTTGAGGATCATAATATGTAAATCGTCCGTCCTAGCACAAGCTTTCTTATAATGTCCAAAATCTCATCCATCAGTAATTATTTATGTAACCTCAAAGCTGTAGCACTACAGCTAGAGAGGAATAAGAAGGAATACTAATGTTTAAAAAGGAGAAAAAAATAAAGTGTAGATGCTCCATGTCAAATTTATTTTTGGAGGAAATTGGGAAAAGATTTAGAAAAAGTATTTTAAGTTCTTGTAAAATAGCATGGAAATGGTACAAAAACCAATATACTTTGATGAAAAGCAAATTATTTCAAATCAATTTAATGCATTTTTCTGACTGTCTAGTTGGCATATTGATTAAGGATCTGTTGGATTTTAGTTTATTAAAGCAGTCTAATTTTATTCATAGTAAAATTTTTAGAAAATCTAATCATCAACAGTTTAATTATTTAAAGGAGGATATGTCCATCAATTTTATAATTTTTAACAATTGCTTCATCTGTAATCCTTAATTGTTTAAAATTTGATAGTCTTATTTCATGGATTATGTATGCTGAGATGGTTAGCTCTGGAAATACAGTAATAAAACTTACTTATTAATAGCCTAAATAGGTTTATACTGTAAAATTTTGGAAGTTATTTCTCATATTTAACAGAGTTTTTCCAGAAGCTGGTGGCTATCCTTACAAAATAATTTGGTAATGATCATCATGTACAAGATGAAGTTTATCAGTCAGGATGTTTCCTGAATTGCCCTGTTTCATCTTTTTAAATTCTTGTATAATAAACTAACATTTTGTTTTAGAAAGTCTGCTTTGCCTTCAAATGCTATGATTTATATTTTTCTTGCAGCAGTTACATTAAAACTTATTTTTTCCCTAAATTATTCCCCTTAAGACATGAGTTTTATAACTTTTCCTATATAGAAAACTTGTAGGTTTTTTTCTCTGATACAAAGATGGAATTGTACATTAGTGATTCAAACCCAGCTTCTTATGTCAGCTATTTCAGTGCACAAAAATCATTCATGGTAGTAAAATACATTTTAGTAAACCCTTATAATTTTCTTCTATTCACACAATGTTTGAAAACTTCCTGGGGGCTTGGAAAACAACCTACACTTTTATAAATGGTAAAATAACCAGTATTTCTGCTTCTGGAGACCATTCTTAATAACCTGGGTAAGCTTTCTTTTGGACAAGTAAGCAGAGAGCAAACTAGCACAAAAAATGTCTTTCTCTTAGAGTTCCCTTTTCTCACCTGTGAGTCTGTTCAGAGTACTGAGAAGCTTGGCTCGAGTTTGACTTCCACTTCTTCACCAGTTGCACCAATTCCCTCAACATTCTAACTTCCTTCGTGTAGAGATCACTTGGAATTGTTCATCTCTACGTGAAATGAGATTAGCACCATTCAATCTGTCTGAACGGCTGGTGTGCAAGTCTCTGTTCTTGAACATGAAAACAGTCTGATCTTAAGATGACTACAGACAGGGACAAAGTCAAGAGTCAGCAACAACATGTGTTGGCAGACAGGCCTCCATTCCCTAAACATTTGATCTACCCTATCTGCCATCCTCCTAGCTGAAGGATGTGGTTCTATATGCAGGGGTATTCTCAGGGAACCCCTAGTAAAAATAAACAAACAACAAAACACCAAAGAAGAAAACAAACAAAACCACACAAAAATCCCTCACTGGACACATAACTACCACCATTGTAAAAACTGATTCTGCTGATTCTGCCTTTTTTTTTTTTTTCTTTAGGTTGTGTTTTCTCCCTTTCCCTTCCCTCTCCTTCACAGCAATCTTGGCTTTCTTCCTATATCCCCTGTATGTGAATCTGGGGAACCAACTGAATGTATTTTGGCTGGTTCATATCTACCATCTATTAATAGACTATTGGTGTTTTGAAGGGACATGACATTAAGCTCAAAGATGACTCCTTAATTTGAGTTTTTTATCAAGTTGGTAGTTTTCATTAAGCCTATGGGAACTCATATATCTTTATTATCTCAGTCTTCTGAGAAAATTAATATGAATTGTCAATTCAAGTTATATTAGGGAGACAACTAAGAGTCAGAGGGATGGAGAGTGAATGTATAGTTACTCTTTCACTAGGAAAAAAGTTTTAAAAAATCCAACAAATACACCTGTTGGGTTTTTTTTTCATAATTAAAAGAATCTGACTGTGTGGCGTGTTTACACCTTATTCTGTTGTGGGGTTTTATTTGCCTTTTTTTATTTTTCATTTTTTTTACTTACATGATCCAGAGATATTTATATACATTGAAAGCATTTCATCCTACCCATAAAGACTTAGAATTTTAGAGTTCATCTTGTGTGCGTTCAGAAATTACCAGTGTAGGTCTCATGCATTAATCAGATTACTGAGTATAAACAAAGCCTATTATATAGTTGTTAATTGTTAAGGCAGTAGGCTTACACATCTGAATATGAAATTCTTGCAGAAAAACCATAGGTTTCCGGTTGTCTTTCGATAGATCTCCCCTATTGTCAAGAGATATCAGTGAATTTTTCTTCCTAACTAAACCCCCTCAAATCTTTGTAGCCAACTGCAGAATACAAAGATGGCTTAACAGTTACAACCTGGCACTTGAGTTCAGTTTTTGAACTGGTCAGAAATTGATGGCTATTGGTGCAGTTTCACAATGATCCCCAAAATGTTTATGTAATCTTTACCTTTTCTTTATATTTCTATCTCTGCAGGCATCTCCTAAACTACTTTTGTTTGTTACTCACTGTCTGATCAGGTATCTTTCCTTTATAGGCTACCTCTGTTGATTATTTAAATTAATATCACAATGTTATCAACAGTCATTATTTCATCAGCCAGAGTATGTTCAGTTTTCTGGTTGTAACCTAGCAGTCTTTGAACCTGTACAGTTCCTAATTAGTTTGGCAAGCAACTCAATTTTCAGACTAAGGAATTGCTTTGTTTTCATTCTTACTATTAACACAGGTCAAACAGTACAACATAATTACATATCAGTGTGACTTAATTTCCATATTTATCCAGGCTAAGTACTGTTTGTGTGTTTGCATATGCTAAGCTATGAAAAATTTAATTTTTTCACCTCCTTTTCTGAACCTATAGTGTCATTATAATCAACTACTTACTACCAGATCATAACCAGAAATCTTGTAGACCATATCAGAGCACACTCAGACATTGCAGCAGCAGTTCCAGTGCAGTAGTAAGACCCTAGTCCATTCCACTCATATGGGGATTGTTTTTGTTAATTTTATTTTCAATATATAAGAGTAAGAAGCCAAATTATTTTAGATGTGGAATATACAGCTTCTTGTTCACAATTTTGATGGAGACAATTTCTACAATTTGCTTTAGCCTCTCAGGTTATTATGTCTTTGCATTAAGTTTTAATAATAATAACATCTGGTTACTTATATTTAAACAGTATGTTTGTGGAATAATTCAAATACTGTTTTCTGTTTTCTTTATAATTTCTTCCTTGAGAAATTCTGCTTCTAGGATATATTACCTCAGTTTGGCACAGTGTTTTACTTATCTAACACGTATTTGTTTAGCATAGTCAAAGATGAGGGTTGGAACAAAGGCAGAGACATTTTTGCTTTTTATATCTGGTAAGAGTTTAGATGGTGAAATTCTGCAGCCACTTTTTATGTGTAACTTTTCCCACTACGTTTTGTAAAACTGTAAAGCCATCACCAAGATCTGCACGGTTGTCCAGATGCAGTACTAGAACCTGACTATGCGCTATGATTGTTTTCACTATTAAGAAGCAGTCTTTTTCTTAATGATTTTTTTTTTTGACACAGAACTTTTTGATACCAGTATTATAGACGTACAAAATATATTACTGAGAAGTGCTAAGATTTTATGGTAGGATTCACCAGCTTACCTTTTTTACAAGAAATAGCAGTTTCCTCTGAAATTGGTCACTGTGAGATATTTGAATAGATGTGATCCTAGTTAGTTCTGGACATATAGGCTGTAAGGTATGTAGAGCAATTTCCTTCACTTTCAGAAAACATGGCAAAAAAAGCGATACTAATCTAAACAGTTGGAAACTAATTCATGCAGTCACTTAATAACTTAAGGAAAGCTTTAGGTAGGAACAGGTTTATGAGAAGTGTTTAATCATTGTTGAATGCATTAATTAAAATTTTATTTTTCTATTATGTCCCATTATTCTAATTCATGTGGAATAGTTAATTTTATCAAAAAACAGCTGATCAGAACATGAGGATAATATACTGCAAATAGGCAGTGAATATACGTGAATAGTTTAAAAGGTTTTGTTTTGTGGTAGTAGCAGTAGTAGTAATAGTAGTAATAGTAATTTATGCCTCTACAAATAACTCTCCCATGTATCCTACATACAGACTCACTGGATCTAGTGTTCCTGATCTTATTGTGAGCATGAGCAACCAGATGTGGCTTCATTTGCAATCTGATGACAGCATTGGCTCACCAGGATTCAAAGCTGTTTATCAAGGTATGAGCTAAATTAACTATTTTAAACTCATGTAGTAACTTACATCATTATACCACAACAAATTTATTTCAAATAGGTATTTAGTCCTTTCACAAATTTAGAGTTTTGATAGTGTCTCTATTGTTATTTAAAGGTTAATGAAGATATGGATTTGCAAATACCCACAAAATAACTAAAAATATTTGCAAGTAAATTTATTATTCTAAGAGTTTTTGCTGGGAGGTCTATAGAAGATACGAATTTCTATTATATTTGAAAGATCTTAAATTTCACATTCTGCTAATCTGTATAATTTCACATATTGGATACTATTTGAAAATTATGGTTAATATTCTCAAGACTTTATTGGGGTAGTTACAAAACATGTTTTCATGCCTCACCGAGAATATTCACAGACCCAGGTCAAAAATAGGATGCAACAAAACCAGAGATATTGCATATGCAAATGGAAATTAAGATGATGTATAAGATTGTGGGAATTTAACTCAAAAAGAATGATCCAAATTACTCTAGCCTCATTTGTGTTGTTTCTGTCTCAAAAAGATGAGAAGTTTTGCAACATAAACACCTTTAATTGTTTTGACTATGTGCTGCAGTTTAATACTTTCTGAAGTTGATCCACTCTGTTAAAAAAATACATGATATCTGTTAGTACATATGCATGTATTGTTAATTTACATTTTAATATGTTACATAGACCTGCAGATAGAAAGAGCTGTTGCTTTTTAACATATGGTATCATTTTGGTTGATTTCCATGTTAATTAGTTTACCTTAAGGATAAGGGAAATCACTTAATACTATTACGATAGTTCCTTATGGACACATATGATGAAAATTATTTGATAATTGTTTCAAAACTACTTTCACACAAAAGATATTGCAAAACATTAAGAGACTGCTCACTGTTCAATAACTGAAAATTATTGAACTAGAAGAGTGGGAGTTCCCCTTAAACATTTTCCGTAAAATGAAGCACCCTTTTTAAGTGTTTCATTTCACTTGTAGATGAAACACGTTATTTCTGATGAAACACCAAAATTTCCAGATGAAACACCAAATTTCACTTGAATGACCTTACTGTGTCAACACCAAACCACTCAAAATAAAGAATGAAAAGTTATGTGGATCTTAACTTCAAGTTTAGCAACCTATACATTTATTGGACTAAGGACATTAAGACAGGCTGGCCTGAGCAGGTTTTTAGAAGTGATGTCTGTGGCTGGTGGCATATTGTGAACATTGAAAGGAAGAAGAGGGAAAATGTCCCCCATTGTTCAGCCAGGAAACATGGTGTTGGTTCTCCACACCAATATTCTTCTACTGGTGGTCTCTCCATTGAAGCAGGTGGTGATAATGGCAGTATTTAGGATTGTATTTCCACCACAGTTTTCCTCTAGAACTGTATATTTTTCTCTGGGACTCAAGCTCAGACACTGCTTATTCCCACTCATGACACTGATTGAAGCATGCTAATTAGACCAAGTGTACATTCATTGGAATGGCCTGCCCAGAGAGGTGGTGGATTCACCATCCCTGGAGGTTTTTAAGATGAGGCTGAATGTAGCACTGAGTGCCATGATCTAGTAATCACAGTGGAGTTGGATCAAGGGTTGGACTTGATGATTTCAGAGGTCTCTTCCAACCCAGTTAATTCTGTTATTCTATGATAGGTTACTTTTCTGTGTGCATATATTGTTGGATAATATGTATTCAGTGTTTAAATTACTACTTTTTACTTTTTTTATGAACCTTGTTTTGGTTTTCTTTAACATGAACTGAAATCAACAAAGCAAGAAGGAAAAAGGGGAGAAGAAGGAAGGACAAGCAAGGGGTGATTCTCATGAGGGCAGCAATCACTTTTCATGAGAATCCTCCTTAGCAACACTACTGAGATTTGCAGGTCTATGGCCATGACAATATGAGAACGACAAAAAAAATCACAGAGGTTCTTGAAACACTGTCATAATTACTTAAGTGGGATGCTGCAGAGCTGTGAGTGAAAAAGCATATGCAAGCCTGTAGTATTTCTATGGCTAAAATATAAAGGAATCTTAAGACATGGTGCCACACATTCAGCCTCTGTAGTTACAGAGCTCAAGTTTGTTGTATTGCCTGAGGACAATGATACACTCTATCTAAATTAATTCTACCTGTTCTCACCCCATCTTTGACGGTTTCATCTTTTGTACTTATGTAATTTCTAGGTTCTGTGTTTATTAAGACAATATATTGTGAACTACATAAAGTGGAAAAAGTTATTATATAGTGGAAAGAGAGTATTGGCACAAGTTATGTATCTGACATTTTAGACCGTTTCCTCAAACCAAAATTATGAACTTCTCATCCTAATTTCTTTCCAGTATTTCTAATGTGAATTCAGCTGTTTTGATTTCTGTATTTGTCTAACAAAGACATTTCATGTATGGAGTTCAGCCTCTTACTTCTGAGGACTTTCTGACCTGAAGTATACACTGTGAATTTTGCAGTAGCAGTGGGATCTCTCTTATGAAGTATATTTTTATCATTTGACAGATGGATTCTGGCTTTCAGTCTTGTTTTACAACTAGTTGTGAGTTATTTTGAGGGGGTGGGGTTAAGTTTTGGTAGTTAATTTCAGAATCGTAAAGTATGAAATGTTTACAGTGTCAGAAGTATAGTAAACATCTTAATATAAAGGTGAATTGTAACTTTTTTCTTTCTTTCATCTCAATGTGCTTATTAGTTTTATTAGAATTTTCTCATCTTTTATTGTTGGCAAAACTTTTATTCATCTGCACACTAAATATATCTCCTGCTTTAGGATAACTGTAAAGTTTAAACCTCTATTCTGTCACAAGATGCCTCAATGATTCTACTTCCCCTTTGTTTAGCAGTCAAAGAACCTGTCTAAAAATAGAATTTAATTTTAATTGTGAGAAAGTTAATGATCTGTGACATGTAACCTTGAGGACACTGTCTTTGTGATAGCAGCTATCAAAAAAGAAGGCAAACTGTAGGCTTTGATGGCTTATATATGTTCTATAGAGACAAAGTAAAGAATATTCTTATTTCGATATTTTTTACCATAGTTCCTCAACCTCTTGGGCAATATTTTACAAATTTACAATTTACCCATAAAACTCCCAAGCAATCCTGAGGATTAATCTGCACCTATGGTTACTTTTTCTTAAAAAAGCTATTTTTATAGACTGTATCTGAAAGTCCCTCATTCTCTGTTATAGATCCCAGATATCTTAATAGAATGGTTTAATACATTTTTGAAAGAATCCTCTGAAAGCTTTTTTCTGTGAAAAGGCCAGAAATTTAAATTGATCTGTCCTTGAAAAACAAGATATATTGTAATACCACACTTAAGTGTTTCAAAGGATCTATATTGAAATCTTCTTATTACTATAACCTATGACAATTTTCTTTACTTAAACCAAGAAGACCAGTTGTTACTCCACACATTTTCATAAACTAAAGACAAAGAAAACACAATTACATTGCATGTTTCACGGCTGAGATTTCATGATAAAAACCACTAACATTTCTAAGTGAATACTTGTGTGTGGAGTGCTGCTTTAAAAATAGATTTTTCAAACAAGAAAAATGAGAAGGAAACTTATTTAGAGGAAAAAATACAGTTGTTAACATAGCTTTCAGAACTTTAGCAATAGACCTATTTGGAATTAAGATTTAAGAAAATGGACTGTAGGTTCTAGATGTTTCTAATATAATTTTTCCTTTTACCTGGGTATTTAGTAAGGTTGTGAAAGACCTCAGTGTATTTTTCCACACAAGAGACAAATCTGATATCCATGCATGTCATCTCCTGGAAGAATAATGTGAACTTGCTGAATGGTTATTTTGAAGGTTGTTGCCAATTTCCCTTGTTGAAGTTGCTTCAGTCTGAATAAATTTTAAATATGCATTAGAACAGGACCTATTATCTTCTGAGGACTCTGATTAAATTGGCTTAGGTTCACCAAAAGTACTTGTTTTGAATGAATAAACTATTTACTGAAATAATTTCTTTTAACCTCTAACCTAAATGCCAGTCCTGCCATGCAATCACTCTCAAATCTGACTGGTTTGGGGTACTTTATATATAATAAAGAACAACACAACACGTACATTTAAGAGATATAACATGCATAAAGGGACAAAAAGAAAATTAATATCAGCATACCAAAACTTTGAGGTCACAGGTTGTTCTTCTAACACCAACAAAGCATGTTTCTACCAATGACATTCTAAGACTGTACTTTTACAAGCAAGCATTTTTTGAAATTCATTGATGGTCATGGCCTAAGGTAGGAACTTTTTTAGATAAAATGGCTAAAGTGTTTGTAGATAAAGTAATTATTTATTCATACACTTTTTTTTTCCTTTTTTTTTTCCCCCCTAGGTAGTTTTCTGCTTGGGCTGCATTTTGATTTTGTTTTGACCATAAGTGGGCCATTTATACCCAAACTTGCCCACCATATCTGATCAGATGCAATATTTTGGGCAGATTTGAATCAACAGAATGGTTTATGCCATTTCTTAACATTGATTCAAGCATGTATTTATCTTTTAGATGGATGAGTTAGACACAGTCATTGCCATGCATATCCAGGTCAGGATAATGTAGCGTGATACTGTGACATTAGGCCTTGTAACAATATCAAACAGTCATGTTAGGTCACAGTTGCAGCCGAAAAAGAGGATTGATTAGGTGAATAACGTGCCTGAGTTTGGCTTCTTCCAGTCATGTTATGAGTGCACCGTATTTAAAAATAGGTGTTTTGTGGCTTTTAAGTCCAAGGTGGATCGTGCAGCCAGATGATCACTAGGCTGCTTCACAGCATCACAGAAACACAGAATATGCTGAGTTGGAAGGGAACCATCAAGTCCATCCCTTAGCCCTGCACAGGGCCATCCTCAAGAGTCACCATATGCCTGAGAGTATCATCCAAATGCTTCTTGAAACCTGTCAGGTTTGATGCTGTGAATGTCCCATTCACTTCCCTGAAG